AAATCTTCCCTTGGCCATTACACATTTACACCTTTTTGACAGGAAATTATTGGATGATCGTTTAGTTCATGGGTTAGAAGATCATTGGATGGGACAACCAATCAAGAAGCGATGATTCACCTTATTACTTAAATCTCTCAATAATGTTGCATTGAAATATAATCCTCATGTTTTTCAAGAATGTAAATATCACCATCAATGAATTGTTTTAAATGCGATTTTCGTTCACATTGTAAGAGTGTTTGGAACTGATTTTGTTTCTGCTTCTTTTTTCAAAACAGAAGTAGAATTAGAATCAGTTTTCAGAAGTTGGTCTCCTCAGTTTCTAAAAAAACTGATTATAGGAGTAAATCAGAGCACCAGATTCACTTCTGCAATGTCACCCAAACACTCCAACTTCTGTTTCTGCTTCCTGAAGGAGCAGAACCAATTTTAAGAATCAGATCCAAACACCCCCTAAATGTCATTCATCGAAGACCACATTTACAAATTTGAAAACATGAGGACTACATGTCAATATAAGTACTGTTTGAGACATTAAAAGTGTGAAATTAAGTTATGGCCTAAGTTTTGAAAGTAATCCTTTAGTTAGGCCTATTTAATCCTTTAATCCGATACTCCGTATAACACAATCAAATAGAGAAAACGACCTTATTTCATGAACATTTACAGCTCGGCCTAATGGTTTAACGCCGGATTGACATCATGGCATGCTTAATCTTATTTGAACCAGACCGGTCGCCTAATAATATCTTGAGAGACACCAATGAATCACGAACATGCATGTATGTGTGTAGCTAATTCCCATCAAATTTCATGTTTTGGCATTTGATTTGACGGATAATTGATGTTATTAAAGAGGTGGGAGCCTAGAGCTAAGACAACTTCTTAGTATTATTTCAATATTTCAAATGGGACGAACTTATCACATTTTAATAAATCATTATGCATGTTCTTATTTTGTAATACTATATATGTATTACGGTGTAATTAACTAAAACAAACACATGTGTTATTTAGTATTAAGAGTTAAGAGTTTTGATTAGTGCATTACAATCTTACTTTTATATTTGTGTGTAATTTTACAACTATATGTGTAAATTTCTTGATATTAGTTTTGAATTTTTGAAATTCATATTGAAACTCAAACATATTACAACAAAGTTTTATTTAAATTTATTTAAGTCTCATACCAAATCAGATCACATTCAGATCAGAACCAGCCTGACTTAAATAAATATAATCAGACTTCATAAAATACACTTATAACATGTATCAAATTGGATGAGATGAAAGTGGGATTCAATTAAAAACATCATCGTTTATCCTAAAGGAATTGTAGGTGTTACCCATTTCAGAATTGTTTATAACCACAATAGTTTGGTAGCCTCGGTGGCGTAAAGCCCTTGGTACAAATGTAAGCTACTGCATTTACTGAGTAATAAATAATGTGCAATGTTATCTATTGAAATGAATTCGTATCAATTTATGATTTGATGGAATGTCTGGGGTATATATTGTTGGCAATATCAGAGATTTGATGAAGCCACTTGTGTTTCATGCAATGTTTTGTTATCTTTCTAACGTTAGTTGTCCACACAGGTAAGCACAGTTCTTCTTAGGTCGGATACACTCTCTATGCAGACATTCAGTGACTTGATACGCTAATTCACAATAACCAAAGTTGTGGTTCATATTTCACTACAAAAATAAGGATTGACACAACACGGATTATCGATAATTTTGTACCAAATAACTCATGTCAAAACGTTTTTGATACGGATTTAGCATATCTCTACAAAAAATGTCTGCCAATTTTGGGAAATCCTGAAAAAAATCTCTGCCGATTCCGTGTTTTGTTGTAGTGTTTATCATACTCCTGTTTTTTATAGGAAAATTGTTGTAATAATCCCAACTATTGGCGATCTGCTCACAATAATCCCAATTATCGATTATTTCAGAATAATCCCAACTTTAGGGACATTCCGTCAATAATGGTTCGGCGTGACCGGCTATAAATAAATTCTTATAGTTTCTAAAGTGGTATAACAAGTAATCCATATAAATAATCCCAACTTTTAATTTTTACTCTTAATTTCTATTTAAATTTCACATGTTATAACAAGTAATATCCGGTCATGGACCATTATTGGCGAAGAGTCCATATAGTTGGGATTATACAAAAATAATCCATAGTTGGGATTATTGTTAGTGGACCGGCAATAGTTGAGATTATTATTTTCAATTTTTCATTTTTTTTTATTGAAACTTTCAATTGATCTAATTTGGTCTGATAGACATTTGTTTTAATTTATTTTACATCTGCATATCTAGGTGGGACTTATCTGTTTATGTCTGGTCTAATTTATCTTTTTCTGTCCTATGATTGAATGTTGAAACTAGTCCAATTAGGTGTCTTATTTTGGAAATGATAAAGGTGCGAATTGAAGAAAAAACATACTCCGTATAACATAATTTAATAGTTGTATCTTCAGTCTAACAAGGAACATAAAAATGGCTAGACATGTAGAAATGCCTAGATCAAAGAAAAATTCAAATTCTTTTGGTAGGATATTTTTTCTTTAATTAGCTACACCACATTGTGACGCTGTCTCTTTTGCTTTATCACTACGAATCATGACCACTGATAATTAACGAGTATTATTCAACCTTAATTTCTCTCTTTTAGACGAAAAGTTAACATTATTTTGGCTATATGTAGCATGGTTGCTCTCTATTTACGATGCTTCTAAGTTCTAAGCACATTCAATCTTATTGACTTTTCTTATCTAACATTTAAAAATAAAGAGGATAAGCTACGGGAAAATGTTTAATGTACAGAACATGTACTCCTTCCGTCCCTAAATTAAAGTCACACTTTCATATCAAAACAGTATAAGACAGTGTGCTATACAGTAAAATTTATCCCTCAATAAATTTATTTCATTAATATATTTGAAGTCAAATTGTGACTTAGGGACGGAGGGAGTAATCGGAGTATGGCTATATGCACATGCGATATGTGGGAAGTACGTATTGTTTCCTTCTATATAAATATTTTAACCCCATATCTTTAACAATGTATAATGTTTTACATTATTGATACAAATTTATCAAAAACTATCAAACAAGGCAGATACATTATAGTAAATGATTTTGTCTTCCTATCTGATCTCTTATGTTAGTGTTCATTGGATGGGAGATACTGCAGAAGACAAGAGTATTTCTTATATTGAAAATCCATAATGTGCAGAAGATTGTCATATTTTGGTGGACCATATTTGGCCGAAAAATTAAACGCTTTCGAGGTTGTTTAGTGGTCAAATATGATGACACACTACTTTTATCAAACTTTATACTCCATAATAATATATTTATAATTTTAATCTTTCTTTCACAACAACATACTCCGTGATAATAACAATAATAATTAATATTTTGTTGGAATCTGGTCTGATCTGATAAATGTTTAAACTCTGTGTATTTTATAATTATGGAGGTCTCGTTTGATCTATTTAAGTCTAGTCTAGTCTGATACGTTTAAATATGGTCTAGTCTGGTCTGAGACTTAAAACAATACAAAAGATCATTTAGAGTATTGTTGTTGTTATTAACTTATTAACCACTACATATTGCAATAAAAAAAACCACTACATATTATAATTATATGGATTATTATCATCATTATTGTTGTTACTGTTAATTATATGCTAAAATGCAGTGGCCATCTCTAGGACCGGCCACTTGTAGTGGCCAGATATTAAAATGCTACGGAGTAAAATAATTAGGAGCTCAAAATGTAAAAAGTGAACATTTTGAATTCCTAAATTGTTGTATTAATTGTAAATTTTGGGATCTAAAAATCTTATTTGGATTGTTTTCACTCCCAGACCAGACCAAACTTAAAGTCCTAAACAGATCACACCATACCCGACCAGACTTAAACAGACCAAACTTAAACAAACCAGATCAGATCACACTTGGCTTCCGTAATTATAAAATACACAGAGACCCGACGTTTACCAAACCAGATCGGACCAGATTTAACCAGATCAGATCAAACTTAAACAAAACTTACCGGACCAACAAATTACATTTCAAGTAAAAACATCCTAAGATGTTTTTAATTGGACTGAGATGATTAAACCATATGAGAGTAGACTTAAAATAGTAAAATAAAATTTATACAAAACAAAATTTAATAAACGAAACCACACATGTAATAAGAGACCAGATGAGATTAAAGGCTGTCTGTTCTTTCGAATTTGGCCTTAGATTAGTGACGTGGTTGAAACTTGAACGTAATTATGCTTGAAATTGGTAAATGGATAGTACACATGTATAGGGAAGTAAATGGTCATATTTTAATTAAGATCTTGGGCAAATATCATATCTAGAAGATATTCTTAATATTTATTTGAATAAATACCATCTTTTGCCAAATAAGTAAACTACTCGTAATAGATATCTGTTCAATTTATTTTAACTGTTCCATTACGTATAATAAAACTACTCCGTATAAAATAAGTTATTTTTAAACAGGGAAAAGGGACAAATAAGTCTACATACTAACAAAAAGAGTCAAATAAGCCCTTATATTGAAGGCTATGTCGGACCGTTGCTATTTGGGGAGGTTCCCAGTATAATTTTTTGATGAAATTTTTTTAGCGTCGTATTCATTAAGTCTAGTTTACTCATACCAAATTTCAGCTAACAATTCAATCGAGGAGACACTCAAATGAATTCTTGAAGATAACTGCGTTGTTATCTTCAAGAATTTATTTGAATGTCTTCCTGATTGAAGTTTTAGCTGAAATTTAGTATAAGTAAACTAGATTTAATGAATAAGAAGGTCAAAAAATTTCATGAAAAAATATCACCGGGAACTGCCCAAAATGGTGATGGCCAGACAACATCTCCTATACAAGTTTATTTGCCCTTTTTCCCTTTTTAAATACTCCGTATAAGTCTAACTTTATGGTAGGGAGGGAGCAGTGTCTATATAAGGAAGCACGTACTAAAAATATAGACAACCATCAAAGTCATTTTCAACCTACTCTTCAATTTCAACTTCAAAAGTCTCCTTTTTATCTATAATAATACACAGGAAAACGAACTGATCGAAGTAGCTGGTAAAACTAAAACCTGCAAATTTAAGATCTCTCAAGAAGAAACAGAGAGTTTGACCATGGATTTCATAGCCCAACTGCAAAACCAATTTGTAGCTTTCATGAATTCTCTGTATCGTGAGGTCAGTGGCATTTTCAATTTTTTTCACAAACTTTTTTTACATTTCAGAGATATAGGCTTATAGCTTCCTTTTTAAATGACTTCTGATGATGGGTTTGATAAAATGAAAATAAAAACAGGGCTTTTTGGATGAGCAGTTTCTGCAGCTTCAGAAATTGCAAGATCAGAGCAACCCAGATTTTGTACTTGAAGTTGTTTCACTTTTCTTTAAAGATTCTGAGATATTGCTACACAATATGGCCAATGCCCTGTAAGATTTGTTAATTCTCCTTCCATTAGTATCTCTTTAAATGTGAGTACTTCAGAAAATCAATGGTAACTTGAAAAATTCAATACTAATAATTGTTCTGTTGACAGTCAACAACAACTGGTAGATTTCAAGCAGGTTGATGCGCATGTCCACCAGCTCAAAGGAAGCAGTTCCAGGTACTATATTTGGTAATGTCTTAAGGATTATAGACAAAGTGTTACACACTAAAACTAATAGTTTTCCAGAACAAAAGGTGACTCTAAAACTAGAACATAGAAAAAAAGGATTTACTTGGGTAAATAACTAAATATTCTCTCCGTCCCATTTTACATGTCTTACTTTTCATTTTGGGATGTCCCAAGATAAGTGTCATTTTTCCCTTTTTGGAAAGAAATACATGGTTTACAACATTTCACTTTTTGTTATACTCAAATATCAATTACAACTTTTACCTTTTCAATCACTTTATTAAAAATTTGTTTCAAAACCGAGACACATAAAATGGGACTATGGGACGGAGGTAGTATTAAACAAAGTGGAAACATATTCAAACGCCCTTTCTCCGCTTGTAACTTTTAATGCCAAAAACTTTCCCAAGTAGAAATGCATAAAATACTACTTTGGCAATAAAATATGGTACTCATTTGAAAAAACTTCCTATATTTTATTTGTATTCGGTAAATCTTCTCTAAAAAATTAATGCAATATTGATGTCTTAGTGGGCCCTGTTTGAAATTCTTCATTTTAAGCTGTTCCATTGATTATTATTCCATGCTTTTATGGTCCTCAGCATAGGCGCACAAAGAGTAAAGAATGCATGTATTTATTTTGGAAATTATTGTGAGGAGAAGAGCCGTGATGGGTAAGTTTCCGTTTAATTCTACACATACATTTTCATGGTTTTTATTTTAATGACAAATATATGAAGTATTGAACAAAATTGTGTTTTTATACTTTAATAGTTATATTCATGAATCATGATGAAAATTCATAGCAATTCTAGTGATATTTTCATACCAATGCTTTGTTTCAATAATTTTTATGGAAAAGCCCATTTTTAAATTAAACCTACTTTGCAAAATTCTAGTTTGATGCAAAAAAATAAAACAGAGCATATACGAGCTTGTGTGCTTTTGGCAAATCTTTAATGATTATTTTTTCTTTTTTTGGTGCAGATATACGAGATGTCTCCAACAGCTGAACCGTGAATATATACTTGTGAAAAAGAAGCTCCAAACCTTAATAAATGCAAGTTCTATCCCTCCCAAAAAATATCATTTAATGACATGTTCCTTTTACTTTATGTTTTTCTATTCTGAAATCTTTTTATTATCATCACACAATAGATGTGTGCTACATAAAAATAGAGCAAGAAAAATCTAAGAAACAAATCTGTACATAGCTACGTAGTATATTGTAATTTTTGGACATAACATATTGCACTAGAACTTTGAGTTGGTTCCTTCTAATAATGTTTAACTCTTTTGATCAATTGCAGCTTGAGAAACAGATCGCAGCCGTCGGTGGCACGGTACCGGTTTTGTCATGTATGCGTTGACTCGAATCCAGAGTTTCTATGTCCTGTGATATTTGATGGCACCAAATGAGATATTACATTACAAATTGTTGTTATATGATTCTGAGATCTTAGGTCCATGGTATATTGTAGAAATGTATAAGTGCCAAATTATCACATCTTGTTATATGTTATTCTTGAAAATTTAGAATTTGCATCTGCTTAAAATTTATACCAGTCTAAGTTTGATTATCTTTACCCAAATGTTCAATGTTTGAAGTCTTCCATCTGTTCACGCAGAACCTGAAAAAAGACCAGCAGTGTGATTGTAAATAGCAAATAAGCCATTAGAGCTATTTTGGTCATGGATTTTGGAATGGGAGAAAAGGAGAAACAAAGTGAAAGAAAAAAAATACGATAGTATATTGAATTGCACATCCAACAACCCATATATAGTTTTCTAGTATAAGATTAAGAAATAGAGATAAAGTAACTAAATACAAATCATTTCTCCCCCTCAGGGATGAGTTGTTATCCTTCTTTTTGAATTAATGTTGATAATGAAAATGAAAACATAAACGTAAATGAGAGTGTAGGTGGTGATAATGAAAGTTCAAATACAATCAATATGGATCATTTGATAGCTTGATAGTTGTCTTCAAGGTCATCATAAAAAATTGGGTGACATGGATTTGAAAGCTTAATGCAAAGATGAGAGTCATAACCCTATATATCATACCTGCCATTGGCATGAATGTAGTTTACCCATAGGGATTCTCCTCTTTCCATTTCCCCCACATTTTGTGAGACTGAGCTTTTTGTAGTCTTTTTTATGCCACTTGGGTATTGGTAGGCAGATTTTGTCCAATTTGATTCACAGAAGAAAAATGCAATGTAAGGAATTCCTTGAACTGTTTGAAGCGTTTTTTATATAAACTTTGGGTTTACCTAGGAAAATACAAAAGAAAACTAAAGTTTAAGTAAAGGTTTTATTTTTTCAATCATATTTGTATTTCTAAGATTTTGATTGATTTTAACTTTTGGGTTTGAATGTTTGATGATACATACTACATTTCTATGATTGATTTAAACTCAAATTTAATTAAAGGTTTGGAGATTTTGATTAATTTTTCAATTATAGGAATACTATACTGTTTTGATGGATAAAAGTGTATAATTAACTCTAGTATTACCAACTCAAATCATGACTTCTCAATTGAATGTCTACGTCCATTAAGAAGCATTCAAGCTTGCAATGATTTGAAAATCATACAAGTGAAGAAGAGAAGCATCGAGGCTCAAATGTTGCTTCAAAAAGAGTCTCTATACAACTATACTACCTAAATGTTTTTTACCTGAGCTCAATAGATGTTTAGTTTTTTTTTCAAAAAAAAAAAGATGTTTGGGAAAACTATCAAATAAGCCCCGTACTATGCCGAAAAAGTCGATTAGGCCCTCGTACTTTATAAACACTCAATTAAGTCCTCAAACTATTAAAAAACGTTCAATTAAGCCCTTTTGGTCTGTAAGTAACCGGTTTCCCGGTTAAACGGCGACGACGGCGTCGATGTGATCGAACGCCAGCAACGGCGGCTGCCTGAAAACGGGTTACATTTAACCAAGAAACCGGATACTTATCGACTAAAAGGGCTTAATTGAACGTTTTTTAATAGTTCGGGGACTTAATTGAGTGTTTGTAAAGTACGAGGGCCTAATCGACTTTTTCGGTATAGTACGGGGACTTATTTGATAGTTTTCCCAAGATGTTTAGTTTTTGGAGGAGTCGACATAATTTCACTTTGCATAGGCGATAGATTGTGCAAGCGAAGTATAACGTTTAATTGAAATTATCTATAACGTTTAATTGAAATTATCTATAAATGAAATATTTTGATCTCATATGCAATTTTAAAACGCATATGTTACTATAAATGAAATATTTTGACCAAATATGCAATTTTTAAAACCCATATGTTACTATGGCAAAGAAAACCTTACCCAAACCCAATTCTAATGGCACTTAAAGTCGAATACACAAACTTAACCTCCTTGATACAAGGGGGCAAATTTATACCCATTGGAATTCTTAAAGTCTAGTGCTAACTTGTCCGTGCACCTCTTGCATTTTCTAATAGTTCTATAAAATGATTTAAGATGAATCTCAATACTCAATATGATATGTGAACCAAATAAACTTTAGTGAATCAACAAAAAGTTCGATGTAGTTATGGTATTTGATTTGAGATTCAATGATTTCATATTAAAGTGCCACCAAACTTTTCTGATTTTTTACTAAATTGTGCTACCAAAGTTTCTTCTTTTATTAATTAAATTTGATTCATTTGATCCTTATAAAGATTGAATTGATTGGACGTCCTTTTATGAGCGATAGCTCACCGCAAATCATTGTATTGTATATTAAGGGTGCGTGCGTATAGAAATACAAATCATATCTTAGACTATTTCTCCTAATAGGTTGATCTTTTAGGATGAAACCTCATGTCTTTATATGATATCGGAACAAATTAAGCTCCAATGAGTAATTAGATCCTGGTAAGCCTCCACAACGAGCACACGGATTATAAGACTGGTCTGCTCCAACGAGCCACCATCTCGCGGATGCGTATTAAGTTGTCTCACACAGGTTGCGTATAGAAATACAAATCAACATATAAAATCTTGGGCTACTCCTCCTAATAGGTTGACCTTTTAGGATGGAACCTCAAGTCTTAATATTGTAGAGAGAAGGGAGAGAGCTACAAGTAGAGAGAGAGAAAGTGCTTTGTATTAAATGAGATTCAAATCTTTGACAACTGTCCCAAATGGAGTATTTATACTAGTAATAAATGAATGATGCATTAAATGCACATATACGTATTGACTATTCTATGGGCAAGGGTCATGATGCGTGGTAGAGTGTGACACATGTCATTCTTTAACCAACTTCTGGTCATGCATCTTTTGTTGGGCGATGTGATGTTGGTCCAGGTACAAATGCACCTCAGATTTGGTATTGTTCATACTCCTAAATGATCTGTTTAGAAACCCTGGATGAGCCTGATCGAGGTGACTGGTATGGACAATAGATGTATTTGGTTGAGAGGCCCAAATGATGGGGAAAAACAGCCACACACGGAACTAATAAAATGCGGAATTAATCTCCGTTTGGCTAAACTTTCCCCAACTTGAATGAACCTTTGAGGATGCAAATAAATAGGGTGTTCTTAATACAATTAGAACACACAATATTGCTGCCACACACCAATATAATGAGCTAAAACAGTAAGCACACACCACACAAAAACACCAGAATTTTAGCGTGGAAAACCCGTTAACTAGGGAAAAACCACGGGACCATTTTGGCCGCTTAAATCCACTATCATCATCAAAGGAGCAGTACACAATCTTCTCTAGATAATACTAGAGGCATACAACATCATCATATCCTTGGAAGTAAGAACATCAAGGTGTATGGAATCAAATAGAGCCAAGATAAGAAAATATATCACCAGAAAATAGCTACTGTCCAGACCAACAAAACCCGACCTCCGGACCACAAAACCCGATCTCCACCGTCCAGAATATTGGCCCTGATGCTGTGAAGCTGCTGTCCAAAAATCACGACGATCCAACGGTTCAATCTCCGGGAAACGGAATTTTTCTGCTGCTGCTGCTGGAAAAACGGGATGAGCACACTTCAGCTCATGTTTTGTGATTGTTCTCACTTATCTGCTGCTCTCTTTCTGTCCATGAGTAATAGATAGATGGCAGACCCTGTTTTTAATATTAGCTCCCAAAATAGAAAGTCAAAGAAGACTTTTGATGGGCTCAAGAGTTGGGCTTTCCTCATGGGTCAAAAATAAAGAAAGAACCCAACAAATCTCCCCCTTTTTGACTTATGAGGAAGAGTTCGCCATACCGGCGATGGAGCAACATACCTTCAACTTTTCCCTTGCTAGAACCTTCGTCAACATATCGGCACCATTATCATTGGTATGAACTTTATCAAGTTCAAACAGTTTGTCTTCAAGTGCATCTCTAATCCAATGATACCTCACATCAATATGTTTGGTTCGTTTGTGAAACATACAATTTTTAGCAAGGTGAATGGTACTTTGATTATCACAAAGAACCACATAGCGTTGTTGCATAAAGCCAATCTCTTGCATAAACCTTTTAAGCCATAATAGCTCCTTACAAGCTTCTGTTGCAGCCACATACTCAGCCTCGGTGGTGGATAAAACCACACACTTTTGCAGTCTCGATTGCCATGACACAGCTCCCCCTGCAAAAGTCATCAAATATCCAGAAGTGGATTTCATGTTGTCCTTATTTCCTGCCATATCAGAATCAGTATAACCAACAAGTACTGGCTTCCCATTTCCAAATGTTATACCCAATTTGGAAGTACCACGTAGATATCTGAGAATCCACTTCACTGCTTCCCAATGCTTCTTACCTGGATTTGACAGAAAACGACTAACAACACCTACTGCATGGGCAATATCAGGCCGTGTGCACACCATAGCATACATCAAACTCCCTACAGCTGAGGCATAAGGAACTCTATCCATCTCTTCAATCTTCTTCTCAGAAGATGGGCAATCTTTATCTGTCAACCTGAAGTTGGTAGTAAGAGGTGAACTAACCTCTTTAGCTTTGTCCATGTTGAATCTGCGAAGCACCTTCTCAATGTATTGCTCCTGTGACATGTGTAGCTTCTTCAAAGCTCTATCTCGAGTGATCCGAATGCCAAGAATCTGTTTTGCTGGCCCCAAGTCTTTCATAGCAAAAGACTTGCTCAATTGCATCTTCAGCTGAGTAATTCTTTCTGCATTCTTGCCAACAATTAACATGTCATCAACATATAACAATAAAATAATGAAATCATCATCATCAAACCTCTGGAAGAAAACACAATGGTCTGAAGTAGTCTTTCGGTAATTTTGCTCCCCCATAACTGACTCAAACTTCTTGTACCACTGTCTTGGTGCTTGCTTCAACCCATAAAGACTCTTTTGAAGTCTACACACATAACCTTCTTTTTCCTTAACCTGAAACCCTTCAGGTTGCTCCATGTAGAT